CATATTATGAATTTATGCTCATAATATTATGACTTTAATCTCGTAATGTTATGACTTTATTCTCATAATATTATGACTTTTATATGACTTTAATCTCGTAATGTTATGACTTTATTCTCATAATATTATGACTTTTATATGACTTTAATGTTGTAATGTTATGACTATTCTCGTAACTTGTAGTTGCATTTTATTTAACATCTTATTGCAGCATAAATTTCATCAGCTAAGTGCTAAACTTACTTTTAAAAGTAAATCCTTCAGTCCATGATGAATATCCAAACTGTGCCGACTCATTAAAAAAATAAAAAATCCATTGTCTTCATTTCTCTGTTCAGTTTGCTGCATTGAATCGGGGATATCCTCAGCCAGTGAGGATACACAGATGCATCCTCGGATTTCCAGAGTTTGTCGACCGCATGATGAGGACTCTTTGAATTGGGACAGTCCTCCACGCGGGACAGTGACGTATGCAGCTGACAAATGCGCACTCATGAGGACCAAGCCCCTGAACTGGGACAGACCTGGTGTTGCTGCTCCAGGCAGCCACAAAACATGCCCCTCCAAAATATCAAGCCTCCAACAGCAGAGTGATCCTTGGCCCACAGCTCTGCTCGGACCCAGCATGTCACTGGGCTGCAGCTGCTGGAGACCAGTTAGTGAGCAGCATTTACAACACATTCACACACGTGTTGTCTGCATTTCAACCCATGTTCCATAAAACACTAAAATTAAACAAAACTCTTTTTCATTATTTTATGTCACCAGTTCTCAGAGACTCGCCTCACTGACTTTAACTGTAACTGACTCATAGTCTGACTCTTTCAGGGTTCAAAGAAATGTGGATTTTATGAGAATAAACTCAAGTGTTGGTACTTCTGAATTACAATGACACCATCAAGGTCCACAAGCCCTCCAACACAATGACACTCAGTTTGTAATGAAATACTCCAGTTTGCACAATCATGATGTGGTGGATTGTTAATGATGAWCAGAATTCACTCAGCTCTACAGGAAAAGTGTAATCTATAACAACTAACATGCAGCCAGCTCTCACCTGGACTGGGAGGCTGGACCTTTGTCTGGTTCTTCTTTGTGTCAGTGTTGAAGAAGTCAGGGGGCGGGTCTTCACCGCGCTCCATCTTGCACTCAAAGGCGTACAAACACTGGATGTACTGYTTCTTCAGAGAGCTGGCAGCACTGCTGGACGTGCCCACATTCAGGTTGGTGGCCAGTTCCCTCCACTTCTTATTTTTGTTCACCTGAAACAAACAGCTTGTTAGGATCACACACATCCAGGTGTTTACACTGAACAGGATCACACACACCCAGGTGTTTACACTGAACAGGATCACACACACCCAGGTGTTTACACTGAACAGGATCACACACACCCAGGTGTTTACACTGAACAGGATCAAGAGACACAGGTGTTTACACTGAACAGGTGGACGTTTAGGATCACACACCCAGGTGTTTACACTGAACAGGTGCACTTTCAGGATCACAGAGACCCAGGTGTTTACACTGAACAGGATCACAGAGACCCAGGTGTTTACACTGAACAGGATCACACACACCCAGGTGTTTACACTGAACAGGATCACAGAGACCCAGGTGTTTACACTGAACAGGATCACAGAGACCCAGGTGTTTACACTGAACAGGATCACACACACCCAGGTGTTTACACTGAACAGGTGGACGTTTAGGATCAAACACACCCAGGTGTTTACACTGAACAGCTAGACTTTTAGGATCACAGAGACCCAGGTGTTTACACTGAACAGCTGGACCTTTAGGATCAAACACACCCAGGTGTTTACACTGAACAGCTGGATGTTTAGGATCACACACACCCAGGTGTTTACACTGAACAGCTGGACCTTTAGGATCACAGAGACCCAGGTGTTTACACTGAACAGGTGTACTTAAAGGATCACACACACCCAGGTGTTTACACTGAACAGCTGGATGTTTAGGATCACACACACCCAGGTGTTTACACTGAACAGCTGGACCTTTAGGATCACACACACCCAGGTGTTTACACTGAACAGCTGGATGTTTAGGATCACACACACCCAGGTGTTTACACTGAACAGGTGCACTTTAAGGAACACACACACCCAGGTGTTTACACTGAACAGGTGGACTTTAAGGAACACACACACCCAGGTGTTTACACTGGACAGGTGGACTTTTAGGATCACACACCCAGGTGTTTACACTGAACAGGTGGACTTTTAGGATCACACACACCCAGGTGTTTACACTGAACAGGTGCACTTTAAGGATCACACACACCCAGGTGTTTACACTGAACAGGTGGACTGGCTGGTGTACCTGGGTGAGGCCACCGATCTCTTTGACAGACACGTAGAGTCTGAAAAGATCCAGAGGCTTGCGGCCCACAGCAGGAAGGTTGTTCATGCCCATGGCCTTCTCTTCAGCAAAGGCCAGGTAKCGGTCCACCCACATCTTCCTCTCAGGCTCTGGACCAAGCTCATACAGCCGGGTGATCTTCTCATTGGTGATGGTGGAGGAGCTGGACTTCTGTGGGACAGAACACAAATATAATATGGAACAAGAAGTCCTGAGGAGAAACTACACAACATTCATCTTGACATTGTCACCTTTTTAGATTCAGGTTTAGGGGTCCCATCAACTTTATTGTTGATCTTCTGGGCCTGATTCATTTTGTCCATGCCAAACTCAGAACCAGGACCAATTCCTGAGTGTTTCAAACAAAACAGAAAACATTTCAGTTCAACGAGCAGCATCAGGTAATGACAAAGTTAGGCTGAGCTGCACTGACCGGGGGTACTGTTGGCCATGTTGGCACCCATAGGAAACGGTCCTGGACCCCCCTGGTTCATCACACTGTGCATGCTGTTCATGCCTGGGCCGTACGGAGAACCTGCTCCCATCATGCCCTGGGACATGTTAGGGTAGCCTGGTGGTCTGAAAAACAACAAGACGGTTTAGAAAAAAAAAAGTAAAACTTTTAAAAGTAAAACAATGAGAGTCTATTATTGTCATCCTGCTGTAAACTGTTTATGTGATAACATTAGAGGTTAGAGCAGTCCTTCTCCAGTCAGAGTTGGGGGTTCAATTCCTTCACTATTCATGTTGAAGTGTCCCTGAGCTGAACCCCCGTCTGTGATGTGTCCCATCAGTGTATGAATGTGATCTAAACCACTGATTAGTCTCTATAGATGATGGATTTAGATGTAGAAACTGTGAGTGGGTAAACCAGGGACAGACTGTAAAGAGCTTTAATATCCTGGTGGCTAAAAACTGTCCTTTTACAAAGTCACCTTATTTTATAAACAAAAAAACATCATCTAGTCATACCTGTCTGCCTGTCAGATGGCAGTCCTCATRTTCAAAATTACTGTAACTTTTCTCATTAGTCCATTTTCACAGCATTAAACTAGTCTGAGGTGCAGTTAGAACCACCTACCTGTTGTGTATGGAGTTTGAGGGTCCGTGGTGCATGGGGGGGCCACTGTCCTTCCTGTTCATGCCTGGAGGAGGGCACATGCCAGATCCCACCTGAGGAGGCATGCTGCCCATGTTGGAGGCCATGTTGGAGGCCATGTTGGGACCATAGGGCCGAGCCCCCATCTGCCCAGGACCTATCCTCCCTGGAGCCATGTTTCCATACGGAGCCCCGCTGCCCTGACCAGGCATGGGGTTCATGGAGCCCCCCATCCCAGGACCACTGGGGTAGTTAGCGTTGGGCATCCCTGTGTAACCGGGCTGCCTGGGGTAACCTGGATGTGTTAGAGATGAACGTTAAGTTACAAGGAAGGCACCTTGTGGTGCTCCTTCATACACAACAATGTTCCACTGAGCGGCTCTAAATCTACCTCTGACTCCAGCCTGAAGCAGGCTGTATCTGCCCCTGTATCTGCCCCCCCTGTCCACTGCTATGACTCATGACAAGTTCTTCAAACCCACAGAACCCACCCAACACTTCACAGTCAATCATTTCATGAATCATTAAAGTCCGAGGAGATGTTTTATCCAAGAACCATGATGGCTGCAGGATGAAAGTGTAAATTATTCTACAAGTTTCAGCAGTGGTAGCATCACTGCCCCCCCTGACTCCTGTACAGCACAGCCTCACCTTGTGGGCCATACTGGCCCCCCTGACTCCTGTACAGCACAGCCTCACCTTGTGGGCCATACTGGCCCCCCTGACTCCTGTACAGCACAGCCTCACCTTGTGGGCCATACTGGCCCCCCTGAGGGCCGTAGTTTCCCATGGTGTTGTTCTGGGGATATGGTCCCATCCCACCATGCATCTGAGCCCCTGAAGACTGGCGTGGAGATAAGGCGGAGCCAGGCTGTCCAGGGGACCCGTATGGAGGCATTTGAGGGTTTCTCATGTAAACTGTGGGACAATGAGAGGACGAGATGAATAAAAACACAAACACAGGTTCAAACAGTGGCAGTGTTAACAACAAACTGTTGTTTTTTAAAATTAGACATTATGTCTCATTACCACTAATCATTCTAATTAAAGGGCCTGTGACATGCATATTCATCAAATACAAAAAGTCTAATAAAATATATTTTTATTTAAGAAACTTGCCATAATGCACATGATTTTACAGGTTATGTCACATAGCTGGCATATTTTCTTTAGAATTTGGCTGAGGTAAAGTGAAACAGGAAGTGACATCAGAAAACTCTCTTGTTTTTTGTTTATTGAAACAATATTTGAACGAAGAGTCTTTCTCATCTCTCTATGATAGTGATTAAAATAATCTACAGAAACATCAGATTCTTCTCTACAGTTGTAGCACGCTCTGTTTACATTCAGACATTCCCCTCTGACATCACTTCCTGTTACTGAACACACACGTCTCAACAACTGTTCATCTCTGAGGCATGAAACCTTTTTTACAATATGTTAAAGTTATCTTTTCAAAAATACATTCATGTTTATTACAAAAAGTTAAAGTCATAGGCACTTTACGATGAACAAAATTTAATTTTTTAGGAATCATCTTGCTGATGTAAAACTGGTATCTTTGACAGTTTTATATATTCAACCAAGTAATGTCCCTCGTCTCAAATAATGAAAAACTGACAATTAGCACATTCCAGTGTGGTGCAAACTATTCATCTCTTCTGGTAATACTTGTATTTTGTAGCTTTACAACATGGAACAGTGCTCTCCACTCATGTTCTTTATAGAACAGTAATGATGAGCTTGTCACATGAATGACTACACAACAACCACACACATATAAACACACGCAGACTTGTGTACTAGCTTGTAGACGTATATATTGCAGTAAATACATTAGCTTAAAAAAATTCTGAAAAATAGCATCTAATTCCAGCTGGAGGTCCATAATGCATTGTGCATGTTTGCAAAACTGACTCAAGATACGTCCATGTCTCTCACATGGATCAGGATATTTTTCATCACTTTCCCAGGAGAAGTATGATCGCTGGAGTCAGTCAAAATCAGTGGGCAGCACTATTTAAATAGATTTGTGGGTTTGTCTGCAGAAATACTTCAGAAGATGAACAAAAACTGTTTGAAATCATTCCAATATTATCAAAGTCAGGAGGTGTGTGTATTTCTACTGAATAAGAAACAATTAGGGATGCACCGATACCGATACCAGTATCAGGTATCGGTTCGATACCATGTGCGTTAACTCGTACTCGTACTTATAAAAGTGCTCTGATATTACAGGACCGATACCAGCTTCATTTCGCTCAGTTTGTGCATAGACGCTCTAAACCAGCAGGTGGCGGAATCGTGCAACAGACTTAATGCCAGCCGCATAAAAAAACAGAAGAAGAAGACGACGACCACGTTATCTGAGCTGAACAAACTTTAACAAGCAGGTTGTAGAGGAGGCGT